AGGGTCCTGGGATTGAGCCCCATGTCAGGCTCCCTGCTCAACAGGGGGTATGCTTATCCTCTCCTTCTGCCCCTCCCCCACTTGTGCTCTCTCGCGTTCTCTCTAATATATAAATAAATTCTTTAAAAAAAACACACACACTTTTTTTATGGCTGGCTCAGTCGGTAGAGTGTGTGACTCTTGATCTCGGGCTTTTGAGTTCAAGCTCCATATTGGGTGTAGAGATTACTTAAAAATAAAATCTTAAAAAAATTCTAAAGTGCTCCCAAGATTTATCAGACTGCTAAAGGTCTTTATCCTAGATAAAGAATCAAAGAAACTTTGATGACATGAGAGGAGTTTGGTGGTAAGTCTCCAACATATAGCACATGCTTTCATTTTCCTTATCTTAACTGCACAATATTCATTCAAAATGTTAACAATTTCTTTAACTCTTCTAAAAATTCTTCTAAAAATGACTGTTATTGTTTAAAAGCGGAAGAATCCACTGGGAAAGTCACCTGGCAAAGGCACCTGAACAAAGAGCAAGAGTTCGATCTATACCATCAAAACAGTTCTCACCTATTTTCCGCCTTTTCAGCCCAGCAGCTAACCCTTGTGGGAAGTGCACTCTCTCCGCCTGGTGGGCTGTCACTTACCCACTACAGGAGTGGACACATGGCCCGGGACAGCCAATATGATGACTCCTCACCTCCATTTCCTTGCATATAGCAACTGGTCCACATGTAAAGATCCTAACCCAAGGAGAGTCAGTCTTTTAGAAAATGACATGGGCTCTTGAAGAGAGGATCCATCTCTCTTTCCCAAGACCTTAAAACAAAAGGACCACTTAAACCTGGAATAGCTGAGAGGTACCTCTGCCACTATTTGGAAAAATCTGTCTGAAAATAAGGCCAAAAAAGAAAGTGGAGTTGATCCAACTATGCCTAAAGCCTTTCATTAGCCCAGTTAAATGAACCAGTAAAGTCTTTCTTTTGTTTACATGAGTTTGAGCAGTTTCTTTCTCCCTCGACTGAAAGAATTAAGATATTTGTTCCTATGTAATACGGACATTATAGGCAGCCAGTCTGCTGGAGAGAAATTCAACCTTGTCCACTACATGCTAGTTATAGGACACTGGATAATCCAATCTGTGTCTCAGTTTTCTCATCTTTGTAAAATGTAGATGGTATTAGGACCTACTTCACAGGGCTGTTGTGAGAATTCAACGAGTTTTTATGTGTAGAAGTGCTCAACGTAAATGTGGCCATTAAGATCTCTTAATGATTAAGATTGTTAACATCATAAATTAGATTCTATATTTAGATAAGGGGAAAATATTCCATAAATCCAAAGAAATATATCACAAATTCAGAATAACAGTAGCTGACATGGGAAGTTTAATTGCAGTAAGTTAGGGCACCTGGGTGGCTCAGTCGGTTAAGCGTCTGCCTTCGGCTCAGGTCATGAGCCCAGGGTCCTGGGATCGAGCCCCCCATCCCGGCTCCCTGATAAGCAGGGAGCCTGCTTCTCCCTCTGCCTCTTCCCCTCCCCCCCCCCTCGTCCTGTCTCTCTCTCTCTCTCTCTCTCTGTCTCTCTCTAATAAATAAAAAAAAAAAAAATTACCACCCAAGGGGCGCCTGAGTGGCTGCCTTCGCTCAGGTCGTGGTCCCAGGGTCCTGGGACCGAGCCCCACATCGGGCTCCCTGCTCGGCGAGGAGCCTGCTTCTCCCTCTCCCTGCCTCTCTGCCTACTTGTTTTCTCTCTGCCAAATAAATAAAATCTTGAAAAAAAAATTACCACCCCAAAATGTGACAACTTCCAAGTATTTAGCCCAATTTTTTTTAAAGCAAGTTCTACCCCCAATGCGGGGCTCAAACTCACAACCCCAAGATCAAGAGTCACATGCCCTACCAAATGAGCCAGCAAGGCGCCCATTATTTAGCACAGTTTTAAACAAATGCTGTTTTAAAAATCTGTTCTTTTTGAAGTGTTTTTAGTTGTGGTAAAATACGCATAAAATTTATCATCTTAACCATTTTTAAGTGTAGAATTCAGTAGCATTAGATATATTCACATTCTTGCGCAACCAATAACCAAAACCTCATCCAGCCAAATTGAAACTCTATACCCATTCAACAACTCCCATAACCCTCTCTCCCCAGCCCCCACTTTGTTTTTATGAACTTGACTACTCGAGGTATCTCATATAAGTGGAATCAAACAGTATTTGTCTTTGTGACTGGCTTATTTCACTTACCATAATGTCTTTGCTGTCTTTTTATGCTAAATGTCAAAGCCCGTCTCCAAGTTGTACTACAGCCTCACAGATTCTTAGCCTTCCCAAACTGAATTGTCTCATATTTAAGTAGGTCCTCCAAAAAGCTTTAAGCATTTCCTAAGAGGCCAAAAGCACTCCTTCTCTCTAAAACACCAATAACTAAAATCTACACCAAACCCACGATTTTTATGACAAAACTGTATGAATGCGAATAAGATTAATCAATAACTTTGTGCCCTTTCTCTACACACTTTTAAATACCAGCAAATCTCTCCAAACCACTCCTCCACAAATTTATCCCAGCCATTCCTAATAATTGGCAAACCATGATGTTTCTCCTTTCCGGTAGACCCTATTTACTCTCTGGGCCATGGTTTTTTTTTTCAAGTTAAATTCAAGTTAGTTAACATATAGTGTATTATTAGTTTCACTCTCTGGGTTATATTCATTGCATACTTACTGTCTGCCATATTGTTTTCTAGTGGACTCGCTTGCATATTTCCCAGCAAAATGCTAAAGCAGGAAAAGTACCATATACTTTTTAAAAAACAAACTCTGAAGTGCTAAGTATACAACAAATATTCTATTAAAGTGTATGATAAACTGACTTTAATAAATCAAACAGAAGGGGCACCTGGGTGGCTCAGTCGGTTAAGCGGCTGCCTTGGGCTCAGGTCATGATCTCAGGATCCTGGGTTAAGCCCCTACTCAGGGGGGAGCCTGCTTCTCCCTCTCCCTCTGACCTTCCTGCCCCCTCTCGCCCCCCACTCGTGTTCTCTCTCTCTCAAATAAATAAAATCTTTAAAAAAATAATCAAAAAGAAAAAATCAAAACCACCAGAAAATAGTAACAACTCTAGTTTTATTGTTGAACATTTACACCTTACAAAAATAAGTATTGAGATGATCCAAGAAGCCTGTTTAAAATCAGTAAAAGGTGAAAACAATATTGTGCTGCAGGGTTAAGATTCACTTAAGATTGAATTAGATTCAATTAAGTATGCATGACTAAATTAAAAATTAAAAAGTTAGCCCTATAAGTACAGAAACAGAGTACAGAGTAACAGATCTTCCAAAGAAGTAGAAAAGAAAAAATGAAAAGAAAAAACAAGATCAAACCTCAATCCAAAAAAGGCAAGAAAGGAGGGGAAAAAAATCAAAGTATCAAGTGTAAGATGGTAGAAAAAGTCCAAATCCATTCATTCAACAGTTACATTATGGAAAATCTACCAAAAGCCAGATACTGTTTTAGGCACGAGGAATACAGCAGTTAACAAAACATACAAAAATATCTGCCCTCAGGAAGATTCTATCCTCGTGGGGGAAACACAATAAACCAGACAAATGAATAAACCACATGGCATGTCAAATGATGGTAAGCACAATGACAATGACTACAATGGAGATGTAAGGGAAGGCTACGTGGGGGAAGACCTCACTGAGAAGCTAATATTCCAAAAAATATGAGGGAGTTAAGGGATTAAACCATGTACACAGATGGGGGGAGAGCATTCCAGGCAAAGGAACCCCAACTGCAAATATCCTGAGGCTGGGATGTGCTTGAGGAGGCCAGAGAATAAAGAGGAGCAGTAGCAAGAGATGAGATCAGAGGTAAAACAGGAGGGGATCACACAGGACCTCGGGGGCCACTCTACCAACTTTGGCTTTTACTCTGAGTGAAATGGGTAGTCCCTGCAGGATTTTTTGAAAGGAGGGCAATAATAATTTTTTTTTTTTTTAAGAGGATCATTTTAGATGCTGTGATGAAAAGAGACTAAGGAGAAAAAGCAGACTAGTTAGGCGGCTATGGCAGTAATCCAGGTGAAAGACAAGCTGTAAATTGGACTAGTGGAAGTGATGAGAAAAGCTTGGGAGTCTGAACAGACTCTGAAGGCGAAGGGCACAGGATCTGCTGATAAATTCTATGTGTGGTGTGAAAGAGATGAGTCATGGATGACTCCAAAAGTTTGGGCCTGAACAAATACCTCAGTAATGACAATGAATAAGTACAAAAACCTGCCAGTCAAAAGGCAGAGCCTGTCGACTTGGATTTTTAAAAATCCCCAGCGATATGCTGTTTATAAAAGCATAGAGAAAGATTAAAAGTAAAATGATGGGGAACGTTGAGACAAATATCAAATGACAGCGGCCTTGCTATACTAATGTCAGACGGAGGAGAAGTCGGCTCTCTTAATCTCCTCTTTCTTTAACAGTTTAGCATTTGTGAACCCTGTCTTCCCGACACTTCCCGAGACTGTTGTTCCTTCGGGGACAGGGATGTCACGCCCTCGTATGGACCCACCCACAACTTAGACCAATCCCCAGCTGGTGGTAATTAACTATTTCAAAATGTTCAATGTTCTGCACCTACTTCACGTTATTTCTCCTCCGTCAGAGATGTTAAGTGATTTGGAACTTCAGGGCCGTTTCTCTAGCCTGAGCAATTTCCCTCTTCCGAAGTGACACGCCAGCAAGGCTTCTACGCAAAGTGCTGGGCCGCTCTGCGGGTCCCGCTCCCTCGCCCGCGGCCCGAGCTGGGGCCCCCGCCCGCCCGGACTCCCTTCCAGCCGGCGAGTCTGGGTCTAGTCGGGGCTGCAGGGAGCAGGCAACGCCCAACTCTGACAACCTGAGAAGTTTCTAGGAGAGGACAGAAGGAGCGAAGCACTGCAGGGTGACGCCCCGGCCACAGGCCAGCCACCAACGCTTGGCTCCCGCAGCCCCGCAGCCCCTCCGAAGCTCACCTGCCCCGCGGCTAGCCCGGGTGGTCGGAGCCGCGACCCTCGCACGCGCCGGTCCGCAGCGAAGCTTCCGGCTTTGGCCGGAAATGTTTCTTTAGGGAGACAGGAAGTCCCGCCTCCGTGGCATGAGCTGCGGCCGCTGGAGCTCAGGCGTGAACGTAATAGGCGAGGGTGTTGGGAGCGGAGAGATGTTAGGTTCTTCCACCCAAACTTGGGCAGGCTCTCGGCCCCTGTCCTACATAGCTGATTCCCGCAAACTCAGGATGTCAGAACGACCCAATGACCGTGCATGTTCTGGTTTACTTGTTTTTCAGTACCATGTTTATTCAGAGTCTACCACGCACAAAGCGTGTCGTCACAGAGAAAAAAACAGTGTTGAGGGGCGCCTGGGTGGCTCGGTGGGCTGAGCGTCTGCCTTCGCCTGGGATCAGGTCCCGCATCGGGCTCCCTGCTCAGCTGGGAGTCTGCTTCTCCCTCTGTGTTCTCTCTCTCATGTTCTCTCTCAAGTAAATTAAAAAAAAATAAAAATCTTTAAAAAAAAATAAAAATAGGGGCGCCTGGGTGGCTCAGTCGGTTAAGTGTCTGCCTTCGGCTCAGGTCATGGTCCCAGGGTCATGGAATCGAGTCCCACATCGGGCTCCCTGCTCAGCGGGAAGCCTGCTTCTCCCTCTCTCACTCCCCCTGCTTGTGTTCCCTCTCTCGCTGTGTCTCTCTCTGTCAAATAAAATCTTTAAATAAAGAAAGAAAAAAAAAAGTGTTGATGCCTCAAAAGCTAAAAATAATAATAATAATAATAAATTAGGTAAAACATAAGGCAGAATAAAAGTAAATACAATAATAGAGCAAATTCCATAGGCATGTTACTTTCTAAGCCTCAGTATTCTCCTATGTAACTAGCTCAATGGATCAACTGGTTTGTTGTGAGGATCAAATGAGATGACACAAATAAACTTTTAGCAATGGTGATTAAAGCACACAGTACCTGTGATGTTGTTCTCACTAGTTGAAAATAGGAGGCCTTTCACCCACCCGAGGGGAAATTGAATAAAAACTCAGGGAGGTAGCATTCATGCTATTAAAGTTGAGAAGAATTTCAGTACATGAGATAGATACCCATGTGAACCTGTAAAAACTGCTTTTGTTGATTAATGAAAGGATACAGGATGAAAAACCTTGCTCCCTAGAACAAACTTTCAGGAGCTTTGTTGTTTGAAATCCTGTCAGTAAGAAAGGAACATCCCTCTCCTGCCTGGCTGAGCTGAGCCATGTGGATCATTTTGACACGTTCCCAGCCTAGGTATAGAGCTTCACATAAGGGGTTTTCAGATATAACATTCCATATTTATTTTAACTTTGTAGTTGTCAAGGATTCTAGACCTTAGAGTCTGCTTCACAGCCCAGACAAGAGCCTCCCTAATTCTTACCTATACTCCAACCAATCCTGTGCTATCCCTGTCTCTTCCCCACCTTTTTTTTAGTTAGACTTCCCCAGTTGCTCTGGTGTTGTGGTCTCACTTGTTTCAGCCAGTTAATAAACCTTTGTGGGCGCCTGGGTGGCTCAGTTGGTTAAGCGACTGCCTTTGGCTCAGGTCATGATCCTGGAGTCCCGGGATCGAGTCCCGCATCGGGCTCCCTGCTGCTCAGCGGGGGGGTCTGCTTCTCCCTCTGACCCTCCCCCCTCTCATGTGCGCGCGCTCTCTCTCTCTCTCTCATTCTCGCTCTCTCAAATAAATAAATAAATAAAATCTTTTAAAAAAATAATAAACCTGACTTTGTTAGACTATAGGTTTGTCTTTCATGGGCTTTATCACTGTTTATTTTGACCAAGCTTCTTGCACTCATGAAGGTTGGAGGACACTTTTAACCCTAACTTAGACAAAAACTGAATCAGAATAAAGGCAAATGATTTACTGACATTCATATGTGCCCTAAAAAGAGCTGTGGACTTTTTAACCTGAAGGTTTTAAAATTCCCTTTTGGGGACACCTGGGTGGCTCAGTCGGTTAAGCGTCTGCCTTCGGCTCAGGTCATGATCCCAGGGTCCTGGAATCGAGTCCCGCATCAGGCTCCTTGCTGAGCATGGAGCCTGCTTCTCCCTCTGCCTGCCTCTGTCTCTCTCTCTCTCTCTCTCTCTCTCTCTCTGATAAATAAAAAAATCTTTAAAAAATAAAATAATAAAATAAATAAAATAAATAAAATTGCCTTTTGGCAGAGAAAAACCACTGTTCTAGAAAATTGTTTGGCATCCGCCAAATTCAGACCACCCCACCACAAGACACAGGAAGCATGAATCTTTTTCTTTGTAAAATATTTTCTTGTCTCCACTAAATTGTGACAATATTTGCCCAGTTTTATCAAGAGTGAAATAATGATCCTTTTGCCTTCAGTCCTTTTCTTGTCACATTTATGCCGTACACTGCTGCCTCAACTATGTTACCTACTTGAAGTACTTACTTTGCTAAATCTTTCCCTCAAAGACGTGTATACCTCCTGCCTCTCATTCCTCACCTCCTTCTCACTTTTATCCCTTTCAGCCTGGACTTCTGGCTTCACGAGTGACTTCAAATCACCGAGATGATTCTTCAGTCGCCCTATCCCTTGATTTCTCTATGGCATAGGTTGATAGGATTAATTCTCACCCTTTGTTGTAAAAGTTGTATTTAAGGGATGCCTGGGTGGCTTAGTCAGTTGAGCATCCTCCCAACTCTTGATTTCCGCTAGGGTCGTGGTCTAGGGGTTGTAAGATAGAGCCCTGATTCAGGCTTCATGCTCAGCGATGAGTCTGCTTGTCCCTCTCCCTCTGCTCCTTCCCCCTGCTTGCTCTCTCTCTCTCAAATAGGTGAATAAAGTCTTTAAAAATAAATTAAATAAATAAAAATAAAAGTTGTATTTAAAACATTATAGAAAAAAGCTCAAACTTAAAATACTGAATATTTGCAATGGAATCCCTTTTGAATCTCATCATTGGTGCCTTGAGTAAATATTTAGCGAGTGCCAGCTCTGCACCAAATACTGTTTTCCAGGCATTGGAGATCTAGCAGTGAGAAAGGGATGCAGTGTTCCAGTCCTGGTACATTTATATTCTAATGGCATGAGGCAGATGATACATAAATAAAACCAATAATTTCAGATTGTGCTAAGTGCAATAAAGGAAATAGAGGGTGCTATAATAAGATGTAACCAACTTAGAGTAGGAAGGTAAAGGTTGTAAGGTAAAGTAGGAAGGTAAAGGTTGTTCAAAATTGTATTTGAACTGGGGCGCCTGGGTGGCTCAGTTGGTTAAGCATCTGCCTTCAGCTCAGGTCATGATCCCAGGGTCCTGGGATCGAGCCCCACGTCGGGCTGCCTGCTGAGCGGGGAGCCTGCTTCTCCCTCTCCCTTTGCCTCCCCCCCGGCTTGTGCTCTCTCTCTCTTTCAAGTTAAAAAAAAAAAGAGAGAGAGAGAGAGACGGTATTTGAACTGATAGCTGCAAGATAAGAAGGATCCAGCAAAGTTAAAAATAAATAAATACATAAAACAAACAAATAAAAAAAGCTGAGAGGTGCCTGAGTGGCTCAGTCAGTTGAGCATCGGACTCTTAGTTTCGGCTCAAGTCATGATCTCATGGGTTGTGGGATTGAGCCCTGAGTCAGCTTTCTTGCTGACCGGGGTAGGGGTGGGGGTGGGGGTGGGGGTGGGGGTGGGGATTCTGCTTGAAGATTCTCTCCCTCTGCCCCTCCCCCACACTTGAGCACAAGCACTCAAGTTCTCTCTCTCTTTCTCTCATAAATAAATAGATAAATAAATAAATCTTAAAAGAAAAACTGGAAGAAGAGCATTACAGGGCTAAGTAAGAGCAAATATGAAGATCTCTAAATGGAAAATACTGACTTACAACTTTTATAGATCTTTCTAGGGGCACCTGGGTAGCTCAGTGGGTTAAGCAGCTACCTTTGGCTCATGTCATGATCTCGGAGTCCTGGGATTGAGCCCCACGTAGGGCTCCCTGCTCAGTGGGGAGCCTGCTTCTCTCTCTCCCTCTGCCTGCCACTCCCCCTGCTTGTGCTTTCTTTCTCTGTCCAATAAGATCTTTAAAAAAAAAAAAAGATCTTTTTTTTTTTAAAGATTTTATTTATTTATTTGAGAGACAGAGAGAATGAGAGAGAAAGCACATGAGATGGGGGGAGGGTCAGAGGGAGAAGCAGACTCCCTGCTGAGCAGGGAGCCCGATGCGGGACTCGATCCAGGGACTCCAGGATCATGACCTGAGCCGAAGGCAGTCGCTTAACCAACTGAGCCACCCAGGCGCCCTAAAAAAAAAAAAAGATCTTTCTAGTGCTACAAGTTAACAGGGATGGGAGGGAGGGGAGAGGGTGAGTTAAGAGGGAAGACGATGAGTAGAGAGGTCAGTTATGAACTATTACAGTCATTTCATATACAGCACACACACACAAAAATGGTGGTTTAGGGGTGCCTGGCTGGCTCAGTGGGTAGAGCATGTGATTCTCAATCTCAGGGTCATGAGTTCAAGGCCCAAGATGGGCATGGAGCCTAATTAAAAAAGAAAAATTTTTTAAAAAGAAAATGGTGGCTTAAACCAGAAAGGTAGGAGCAAAACTTGAAGACTGGGGGTTTATTTTTTTTTAATTGTTATTATTTTAAGATTTTATTTATTCATTTGAGAGAGAAACAGAGAGAGAACAAGCAGGGAGAGAGGCAGGCAGAGGGAGAGGGAGAAGCAGACGCCCCGCTGAGCCAGGAGCCCAACATAGGGCTCCATCCCAGGACCTGGAGATCATGACGTGAGCTGAAGGCAGACGTTTAACCATCTGAGCTACCCAGGCACCCTGTAGACTGGGGTTTTACCTGGAGCAATTAAGGAAGATGAAAAGAGAGAACTACTCACTAGATTTTGCAAGATAAATGTCAGTGTCCTTGACAAGAGCAGTTTTGGTAGTTTTGGACTCAGAAGCCAGAGCAGCATGAGTTGAAGTGGAAAGGAAGTTTAGGGAACAAGGCTAAATGACTCTTCAAAGAATAGATCTAACTGCCAATTTGATGAACATTTTTCAGACATCCTATGGGATGTCTCTGCTGCATTCCACTGTAATGGTTCACTCTTAGAAACCAGATATCCCAATTCCACTGGTTCTTTCTTCCTCTTCTTCTTCCTCTCCTCCTTCTTCCTCTTCTTCTTCCCCTTCTCCTTCTTCCTCTTCTTCTTTTTTGACAGGGAATTGTGAATCACTTTGGAAATCTAATGAAAGCTATCCATATATATATGTATATCCATATATATATGTGTGTATATAT